GCTCATTAGTGTTTAAGTAGTTTCATTAATTCAGCTAAGCCAAATCACTTCAAGCTTGACTGCAAAACTGTCGCACAGTGTTTTTACATCACCTCGATATAACTAAGGAGCACTACCCATTGATATGGGTGATTTCCGATTGCTCATATTGGCAAGTAGTGTATTTTGTCCAGTTCATTTATTTATTCCCAACATATGATTATCTATCGAGTTTATTAGTGTCGTAAAGAAGCACCAAAAGAGGATAGTGAAAGACAAGAATAGGGTATGTAAATGTGAACTGGATTGGTTAGACCGAAATAGTTTATTTGTGAGCAAATCTATTCCTCTATCTTTGGTGTTCAAGTAGGTGACAAATTATCCAATACACATCAAAAGGTATTAGACAAAGAACAATATAATAATCAGTATCCGGTTGAAATATTTTTATACGTTTTTCACGGCTCATAGACTCCTGAAATTATGAGGGTAGAGGATATGCTCATGACTAGCCAACAAGCACGGAGCCTAGAAGAAGTAGATTGCCTTAACAACGAGTTCCTGACATTCCACACTACTAGTTAAGGAGCTAACTTACAAACTTAATTGATATTCTTGAATCACCACTTGACAACTAAGTCGACTAGGGCTAGAAATAGTCAGTTTGTGTATATCCAACCTTACAATTAATCAACTGATTTAAATAGCCAAGTGAAGAAGTCTCTTGCATCTCTGCGAATTCAGAAAGGTTTGAATCTTCAAGGAAACATGAGTTTGTAGATGAAGGTTACAGATGAATCTTTCTGATATGCGACAAATAATAACAGAACCAGGTGAGCAGAGTTTGTCGTGACTAATGTGAAACACACTTAGCTAAGTGAATTCTAAACGTGATCGAGAAACTTCGACAGCGTCCAGTGATCAGTTTCTTTTGGACGGCACATAGGAGGCATGTTGCCTATTATTCCGCACACAAATTAATCGGAACTAACCATCATATTGCATTATTCCAATTGATTTTCACCTAAAACACTGGAATATAAATTAAATCACATAAACATCGTGCGCATATATATATATATATATATATATATATATATATATATATATATAACCTTGATTCTACTGTTTTGACAGAAACATAATCGAAATGCATAATGATGAATATCTTTCATGTGATTGTCCACTGTTCATTTCATGTTTAATTATGATGCAGTATCCTTTGGATTAATCGATAAATACTTTGAATACCACTGTTGTGATGACGAATGATTAAAAAGCGTGAAAGTAGATGACCTATTAAGTGAGTGCATTTTTAAAAATAAACCCCGAATACTAACTACTTTTATTATCAAATAGTACCAACATTTTTTATAATCAAGCGTTTACAGTTCACAAACACTGGGGAAAAACATAAACAAAATACTTATTAAATATGTCCTCCATATTTATTCACATTTACAAAGCATCGTGTTACTAACCGCAAAAATACAAACACCTATGAAAGAGAATATAATTGATGAAAATGGTAAATGGAGTATTGCGTTTGGCGAATGGTTGAATAAATTATAGGACAGTACTATTGCCAAATAAATACGCATATTCCCAAGACATAAATTATTTGTTCATCGGATTATTGGTACAATTGGAAATAATGTACCGACTGTATGCTTTGCAACGCAAACATTTATGTCAGCTAGTTGTGGTGATGATTCAGCTGGTGAGTCAAATAAATCCTGTGTACTATGGGGCTGTATGCATCGCTGGGTTTTCGCAAGATTAAATACAATTTTAATGATTTTCAAATAGTCCTAGCAGAGGATAAGAAATTAAGTATGAGAAATACTTTTAATACGACAGTATTGAATATTTATCGAAGACATGCTGAAGAATAAAAGTCTGATACCTGTAAATAACTTATAGGCCTCCTAGTGTCTTGTATAGAATATATATTCCTTAAAATAAAAACGTCTTCAGTACAGACTACAGACAATTAAGCACTAGCAATCCTTTCGTGGATCCGTGAACTGTTGAAGTCTCACCCCTGAGAAAACTGTGTTTTCATATTTTAAAGCAAGTATTTACAAAATCAGCAGATGATGTTGAGAATAATCTGAAAAGAGAATTTCACCGAGGCAAAGGCAGTAAGTGAAATACATCGAAAGGGAATTCAAATGACAGACAGCTCAATTCCCGTCCGAAACATTATTGCCATTCTGATATTCTCCGATTAGCAATAAACGGCCCCAAAGTGGAAGGATCCCACTACTCTTGTCAATAAGTACAACAATTCATGCAACCAGGAGCCAGTTATTCTTTTACTGAAGAGCGCCAACATATACCTAGTTTGCCTTAGAAACAGCGGCAAATTCACTACTTAACCAAAGCTATTCGATTCTGAAACTGAAACGGATTACAGTACAAAGAGTAATTGAGAGTGGTTCTGACGACAAATAAGGAAGAAAATAGCCAAAATGTAAAGGAGTTGGGGACTCAATGTAAAACGACTTACAACAAGTTACAACGGCGTAGCTATCTTTCCTCTCAGACGTAACTCAGAAAAATTATCTATTATTATTTCGTCATAACTGATAGTTAGCTAAAAACATAATTTTACTCAAAGCAAAAACGAAATGCCCTAGTGGCTCGTGGATAACGCTTTGGAGACTGAAGCAATGGGTACTACGTTCAACTGTCAGTTGCAACAAGACCACTCACTGGAGAGCGGTTACATCCAGGTGACAAATCCCAAACAGGGTAAAACGCGGGTCATTGACTCCAAACCTAGCCATCCAGCGGACCAGAACATGAATGTTTGAACAAAGAAAGAAAGAAAGAAAGAAGAGATTTTGTTTTACGGATATTGATAAGCTGCATACAAACTTAAATTACAAACACCTTAGTTGAGAAAATACTAATTCTTGTGTAAACAGACAATTCTAGATTTATAAAAGGTTGTCTAACGAGATTGAGAATCGAATCCACTAAATCAACACGTAAAATATGTGAGACAGGAATAATGACTCAGCATCTGTTTTGAAAATGTGGAAAATCGCACTACATGCATCATGGAGGAGGTGATAAATTAGAACCATATAAACCATGTCTTGAAGTTGTGGAGTTATCCTGACATAATGACTATGGACGATAAATCATTTCCGAAATAACCCAGAAAATAATACAATTTCATTGTGACACACTTAGTATACCAAATAAAATGAAATGCAAGAGGCACTGGAAAAAAGCTTCTGTTCTGCAAGGTTGATACCAGTTTATGGCACTACATGCTCATTAAGTCAATCTAATTTACCTTCAAGTGTGTTTAATAGTTGACTGACAAAATCATCTATTAGGTTTTATGCACATGTTTCCAGCCATTTGTGATTGAAACTTTTGAGAACTGCAACAGGATAAACACCTAATGGGAACTGGACACCAAGTGGAGGTATCCGAAACTTTGAAACCATGAATACACATAAACTGGTCAAGTTTGCTGTTTTCTTGAAGCCCCTGCAATCAGACCTGTGTACATAAAAACAAACTTTGATTAGTCTTCTAGCTTTGCCCGGCTAACTTGTTCTTATTTTATTACTTCTTGTCTTTATTTCTTCTATCAAATAAATTCCGATCACATTTAGTTTTATGTTTTCTGATAGTACATGGGCTGACGTTATTTTTTGCTTTCCTCAGTGACTTACTTCCTTTGAATCGTTGTCCATTAGAATTATCTATTTAGTCACATACAAATTAGTATTTCCATGATTTTAGTTTCTTTGCAGCTTAAAAATATCCGTAAAACAAATAACTTCATCTAAGATTTTCAGGGGAACGGAATGCATGAGATTACGAGATTACACCGTAAATTTCACAAAAGTATAACTCCAGAGAAAAGTCTGTGGTTTACGCCTGATTTTTAAAGATGATCGGAACTTCCCTGCCTGAAGTGTCGTTTCAAACTTCGTTACAAGGTTCACATTAAATGCACATTTTTCAGCAGAGAATTTGTGATGGTGAATTCAACGAGGAAAAAGCCAGTGGTAACTCGCTGTCCCACGCACGTAGTAGTAGTAGTAGTATTGTTAGTAGCTATAATGTTGTACTAACAACTAATAAAATAAACACATGCACTATGAAAAGATACCAGTGAATTACCAATGCAACTAAAGAATGTACCCGCTCAAAGACAAGGTTGTGAACCACAATGGTTTCAAGATGTTCTATAATAGATACCATCTCGGCATCGGCGTCGAAGTATGCTGGGGCGTGCACATAACGGACAATCTGTATCGTTTCGGTTCCTGCTTCCTTCAATCCAAAAAGAAGTGCCTAAACAAAACTCTTGCATAGGAAAATGAAACCGATGATTAATTGATGAGAAAAGACCGACCGCCAAGCGTGGATGTATACATTACTTTTTTCCTTCAACTTCTACACTTTTTCTTAACAAAAAACAAATGTACATCAAGAACTGAAATAATACAAATAAAAGTAAGCATCTATTTTGATTTTTTTTAGTCTATCTGTACGCAATTAAATGATCAAGCGTTCGTAAATATCTCATAATGAATCTTTATTTTTGCGTGTATACATGGTTATATAGACAATGGCAAATATATTTATAATAACGGAGGTATCGAGAAGTTGAGGAGAGCGAAAGAAAAGTAATCAAAAGGCAAAGTACAATAACAGCAGTTACGATAATGAAGTGACAAATAAAAATTTTGCAATAAATTATGACGAAAGTTCGCTTATAACCTACGATTATATGAAATGCAGACATACACGCGTAAAAACCAAAAGGCATACACACACATGCGAATGAAGAAAGTAAATTCATAAACAATAAAACAAACTGCTCAACTAAAACAAGGTGGTTTATGTATATGAAAGAAGCCGGGAGACATGGAAAGAGATGTCACATCACAAGGGTAGACGGTAGAAATTCGCCTTTTCCGTCTGTACCGGGAGAAATCAAATTGAAGACTGTATAAACCAAACATGGTGTTTAGTGAATCGACGTTTCATCTGAAAGAAAAGGAGTGACAACACGAACTATAATAACAAAAATGCATATTACACTGCAAAACAAGAAAAACGCCAAATGTGAAACTTTAAAACAACACAACTCAATCACGTCTACCACACAACCAGCCAATAAATTGCTATTTGGAACAAGGCATTTGGGCACGGATCTGAATCGACAGTTGAGCAGATTGGAATCGAATGTTCACATCATTGAACCAATAATAATACTGGCGATTGCTAAACCAAAAACATCCAAATTTCGAGTTAGATGTATGCTACTTTTGGCAGATGCTACATGAAACGATATGAAATATCTTTGTCAGTAACAAATAAAAAGTAACATTTTAGATAGAACCTGTTTTCAAACTGTTTGAATAAAAGTAAGAGCGAAATTTGCATACTGACTGCACAACATTGCTCCCCGGTGAATGAGTACCTGTAAATGAAATTGATGCATTCGCAGTAGGTTTTTCAGTCATGTTTTATAGGTATTATTTCCAGCTAGAAAAATACTCTATCACTGAATTATTATTCTCCATATAACTGAACACCACCAAGGAAGCATTGTTCAACTGTATTATTTAGTGCATTTGAAGTAGCGAAAAACTTCGATCATTTATGAAGCCTAGTGTACATGTGTGCGACAACGACGGATATTCATGTTTTGGGCAGTGATGCCATCAGATTGAGTCAATTAGAACTTGAATGTAGTGCTTCGTTTTTTTAAGTTGACAGTTGATCACTGACCAGTGTCTTGTTCGTGAAAACATGTTCCAACAGCGATTTTTTTTTAACATGCTGGTTTAACAGAGTTAATCTTAGCAGAGGTTGCTGGTCGTAGACGTATCTTTGTATACTTGCAATCATAAAGTCTAGGCTCAGACCTTTACTTACTGAAAACCTTTAAAACACAACTTCAATACTAGAATGTGGTCCGACAACATCGATATTTTGTCTAGTAATGACAGTAGACAGACAGATAAAATCAACGCGATGAGCAGATAAACAGAATGTTCTACTTATCAAGTGAACTTTAGGCATGTCACGATGAGTTCCTGAGTCGATTTGCAACAACTAAGGTAACTTGGGAACTATTAGTGCAATCTACCTATAGACAGACAAACAAAATCAACGTAATCATACACAGGTGCATCGGTCCAAGTTAACACACTTCACAACATACATAAAACAGATGGATATAAAACAAGTGATGTCAAAGTAGTGTAAAAGAATAAACAATTTGAAGATGAAGGCTAGTTGAGATTACACAAGCTTTAGCAGACGTCAGTCACAGAGTGAATACATCTGCGCCATTCTGACAGATTTTCAGCCATGTCACCAAAAGTCATCAACCACTCATTCCTTTCTTCTCGGTAACACCAACCAAGCAATCTACATCTCTCCACATGCCTCACACCAACAGTAAGAGACTTCATCCATTGGTGTCAAATCTTGGCCTGCCATTCTGAACCCTCTTCCAACCAATTCCAACTTACCCCAGCATGGCACGTCGAGGTAGGTGGTGGCTGGCTCGGCATGCGCAATACATGTCCTAACCATTTCAGTCGACTGAGGTTCACAACCTCATCAATCGACTTGCCTGTCTTGCTTGGTACTCTTCGCCTGACTTCGAGATTGTTCACATGGTGATCCCACCAAACGCGAGCAGTCTTACCAAGACATCTGTGATCAAAACCCTGAAACCGCTTCATGTCTTCCTCTTTTGACGCCGTATAACAGGGTAGGAGAGAGTGCAGTGCTGTACACTCGTCATTTGATAGATATTCGGATATCGCGCCAGTCGGAGCATTGTACCACCTCACTCCACATTAATAAACTGGGAGTAGTTGCACATTAGCCCTGGGGTATCATCTCACATTTAACAGGTGTGAGACGCATTTACGCTCAACGCATTTAGGATATCCTCCATTGCGTCAGTGTCTTCACCTAGTAGGACAATCTCATCTGAATACCCCAAGTCAACTATACAGATCATATCTGACAGCGATGCAGTAAAGTATAACGTAGTTTTCAGTAGTATACTTGCTAGTTGTTTATTTGAGTGAACGCTAGCAGGCGATTTTTATATCTAGGATCGGATTTCGTCAGCAAACCACCTATTAAGGCTGATTTGGCTTCACGGGCAGCTGAGGTAATCAGCACATCATAATGCTTCCTTTCTTTATCTTAAAATAAGGATTGCTTCTGACTAGTCATGAGGCATTAGTATGCACCCAATAAATGTGGATCAGATGCCAAATATGTTCAGCTTTTCTCTGCAAGCGTCCTGTCAAATTCTATGTCCTTATCTAAAGCGATTATTCTATCTGCGAACTTTAAGTCAATGAGACTATTCGTGGACAAGTCAATCGGCGAGGAAATATCTGTAAAAAAGGAGAGAATAGTAGCAATGCACACACCCAGGGGACAATAATGATTGTCGTGACCATGGTTACATAAAACTACAGGTAGTCAATGAAGAGGTGAAATGATACGCAGTTCACAATGAAGATGATGGTTATTTGGAGCTCTCTGGGCTTTGGTATTTTGTCATGAATGTTTCATCCCTAACTTCTTTATGAAGTTAGAGCAGCAGACTTCACCAAGTCTGATGATAAAACGTTCACGACAGAATATCAAAGCTCAGAAAACACCAAAACCACCATCAATGAAGAGTTCAACAATGAAATATATACTTTACTATAAGAATACATAAATCAACAGACATAATTTAGAGAAATGATGACTACCGCAACACTCACTTTGATCCATTAAAATGAGGTAGACCACAGTTTTCAGATGTAGTTTCTAAAGAATGTATAGGTGAATAATTTAGAGTCACAGCATGAAATAAAGTCAAGGCAATAGTAATATGGATACTGTTTATCAAAAGCATGTAAACAGTGAACTCCGATGCTTTATAATCACGAGAAATCTCAATCAGTCACGATTTTGCATCAGAAGAAGGTGAAATATAAACTAATACAAATGCTTTCTTTTCGACAATAAAAATTCATTCACGTTGTTATCTAAGAAAGAGGTGCATGCTGTGCTCACACCACTGTCAAAAACAATAGTTGACTCCTTAAATGTACTCGCAACAAACCACTTGATCATATGTATGAGGAGTGTACACAGAGTACACTTAGATGAATTAGAAAACCCTGGTTCTCAACCACCAGCGACGCATACGGGATGCACCACCCAGGACGGTCAAATGGAGTATGAACTCATCTTGGAAAGCTGTAATCTTACTTTGCCCCGCTATCTTGTAGATCAAACGTGAAAGTGAAAGGATGAGGCAGTGATCCTCTAGAACAACTACCTGATTTGGCTCGGACATGGGTTATTAAGTGTGTTTCCCAAACAGCTTCCACACCCTTGACCGCACACTTACTGTGGGATTGTCTAGAAGTGGAGAGGTAGTCAGTGTATGAGGTGACACTGTGGGTTGAAACATAGTTGTGTTACCTAAGTATCTGTCGAGGTCTCATGATGCCATATATGAGGTCCAAGAGACCGTGCAAGTCGGTAACTTGAACACTTCACGTGATGGAAATGACACTTATACAGCCGAACCTGTGCTGAAACGCGCACAGAACTCAACAATCTTTATGAGGTATCGATAAGCTAAGTGTTAACTAAGCGCTAGTATTTTCAACTGCATAAAACTCAACGATGTCAGAATCTTACTTAAAGGAGGCATATGTTTCCATGCTGTCTTGAATATGTCATAACACTAAGTAGGATCAACGAAGACGAAGACGCATAAAAATTCTCTACAATCATTTGATATGCAATAAAATGAATGACAGCTTCGTCCATGACACTAGTTGATGGCATCAGAAAATCCCTTAATTGGCAGATGCTAATCAGTGTTACAGTAGATATCTCTATTAATCTGGTGACCATGTATTAAAATAGTTAATGAACTGAAACATCAGAAGATTTATGCACTGCATAACAAAAATATGAGTGAAAAGAATGTACGTACTGGAGGACTCGTGTTTCATAATTACAGAATCTATATCTTCGTTTGCGGCATTCATCAAGGGATAATGAAGAGGAGAATCGTCTTCACTGCTATTAACCTGAGTTTGAGATGCATTACGTCTGAGAATGTAATAATAGGGAATAGGCGAGAATCAGTGAACAAGCTGAAAAAATTAATAAATAAACTGATTTATCAACTTCACGGTAAATGAAATTTTAGACTGAGCAAGTTAACAGATATTACGCAATCTTTTCATAGGACATGCCCACACGCCATGGCTCATCGGGTGACGTGTTCGTAAACTCATTTCCATCTACTTAGGTCTGGAAGCTTAGATAGGATCACTGGACATTACGCAACTGATATCAATATCAATTCTTACCCAGTGCATTTACCTGCAAGTGGTTGCAGAGTTTGAATTTACTACTACACATACAGAACTTTCAACATTTGATAGAGTCCATCACCAGACGTTTTCTTATTAGAAGTAGTGAAATTTCCTATAGTTTCGAAAGTGTGTTGCATCGTTTATATTACATGATTTGGGCATTGACTCAATGAACAAATATTCAGTAATTAATCTTATCTCAAAAAGGTTATAAAAAGTCCTCCAGTGAAAATTCACAAAAAAGCGAATAAGAGGGAGATATACCTTAGTCCTGCCACAGCCTCCTTTACGTGGGTGGATAAACGACCTTTAGCCAACATAGATTGCAACAATGCAGATTTGAACACCGGTGTATTTTGAGTAACACTAGAATCAGGGTCAAGTGATGGCATTGTAATTAGATTTCGAGCTAGCGTTTCATTCTGGCCAGATGCCACTGTCAATGTTGCATTATCAACCTCTAATTCTTCTTCATGGTTTATGTCTGTTGAAGAACTTTCACCAGTCTTCTCAACATTATTACAAAGCTTCTTGTTGACAACTGTTCTGACTATTGATGAATCGTCTTGCGTACTGTCCTATGGAGTTCGAAATCAAAGAACACAAGGGAAATATGAATAAGCCACAAAGAAACAAACAGAAAAAAAAATCAACACAGGACAAGTGATTACTGTGTAGTGGTTCACGAAAGCACACCTCATATCAAGACAGTAAGTGAGAGTGAATCAAGATGAAGGACAAAAGACGTAGTCATCCGAACAGAGGGACGAGGAATGAGAGTACAATGAAATTCAGTATGACGATGAGCACGAAGAATATGTGTGCATACCATTACACAACTAAGATCGAATCTGAGCCATGTCATTTAGAGTCTCCAATGTCACTTGCACTCCAAACCTACAGGTTCACAGCTTGCTACACAACTCACACAACAGTCAGAAACGTCATCCAATTATACCATGTTTTATTCCGGTCACCTCTAACCTTCTGAAGCCCAAACCTATTTCACCGGAAAATATGCGGCAAGAAGTGTCACTAGGCACAGACATTGTGTCCCCCACCAGCCGAGCCAATGAAGACTCACAATATCATGAACTGAATTCTCTCGTCTACGTGAAACTCTACGTCTCACCTCAACGTTAAACACGTCCTTACAATACGACACCTTCGGCAATCACCAGAAATGCACGAGCAAATTATACGTAGGCTAATACAGGCGTAGGACGCAACGAAGCGACTCAGTATACATAACACAATTGAAAGTCCATAAACGTACTGATATAAATTTCAAGTGGTTAAAAGTGGTTAAGTATGAAAGATAATCCACGTACTGTTTCGATTAATTTGCATAATGATACTAAACAAGAAAGCAATTCTAAGTATAAAAAAAGCCAAATCCAAAAATCTCTCTCGACAAATCTACCAACTTGACATGACTATAAAGAAAATACGAACGGAACGAATCATCGGGCATGTTTCGTGTTCATTCCTATACAACATTTATCATAATCCAGCTTATTGTGGCACCTCTTTCTTATCAATCTTACTCGACCGAATAGTGCCGGTAGCTCACAACCTTGTCAGACTCCGCCCATTCAAAGTCCAACTAACTTACTTTCTGTCAGAAAACGACTGAAACAAATTCGGGAGGCAGATAAGCTTAAGCAACAACAGAGATACTCTGCATATATTGAAACTCAGCGTCAGGCTGAAATGGCTCGCCTGCATCACCAGGAGGATAGAAGACGCAAAATAGAAGAAATGCGTCTCAAAGAACAAACTCGACGTCTTAATGCCTCCGAACGACGTGCAGCATTGGAAATGTCCAATCGAGTAAGTACCTTTTAATCTTTCACTTTATAATTGACCGTTCCTCCTTGAGAAAACTTTAAAAATAACACAAAGGAATCATCTTGACTAGGATCGTTAATCTTTCAGGTTTCAAACCTGTACGAGAATGCATTGGTCAGACGTTCATTCTTCAGGTTTGGAACGCATGGATACGTACTGGTGTCTGATACATCATATTTGTTGACCTGAATGTGGCATTTCAACCTTATCAACATTGAGGTTTATCGTAAGGTACTAGACAATGAACGCAAGTCGATATATATATATATATATATATATATATATATATATATATATATATATATATATATATATATATATATATATATATATTCGCGCACGTTGAAGTTATAGTGCAGCATGTACCAAGTCAGTAGTTAACCAACATCACACTGGTCGATCAGAAAGCCTCTTCAGGATACTATCCGTAGACAAACAGAGAGACTAACATCGAACCTTGCACGGAAGTACACCGGTTTAAGTTGCCACAGTTTATATTAGAACTCAGAAGACAAGTAGACATAAAACGTTATATTTTTAGGTACACAAAAGCATATGAGAAGTAATAAAATGAAGAGATGAAGATTAATGAAGATACATTTTTAACACTAAGACTGACTTTAAGCCATATCACCAGCTTATAACTATCAATTCCCACTGTCCTGGATACCTGACTTAGAGGTGCACATGACCTAGTTAGAGTCGGAGACTTGATAGCTTGGCAACAAGTTTGGTTTAACCACCCTCAGCCTTCTGCTACGTCAACTAACAACCGTGTTTCGAAATAGGTGGTGACTCGGAATGCCCGACAAGTATCGCAGAAACATTAGTTGGTGAACGTTCACAACTTCGTTGATTGACTTGCGTTCATTGCCTAGTACTTTACGACAAACCTCAATGTTGCTCACACCACGAGTAATGCTACGAAAACACTTCTAGTTAGGGGTCCGCAACTTCTTAATATCCACTTTCAACGGTCATCTCTCAGCCGTATGGCAGGACAGGATAAACTGAAATACAGTATACTCATTCTTTGGTATGTACTCACATGTCTCGCCTTAGCCAGAGTTGGCACGAGTTAGAAAATGCCAAAAGGGCTTTTTGTATACCAGTTGGAACCTCATCATAACCCAGACTTGTTGCAGTTCGAGTTATGCTTCTCTGATTCCGGTTAAGTGCTGTTTCACTATGGACAGGTGGATGTTGGAAACGATCCTAGTCAAAATGATTCCTTGTGTTATTTTTAAAGTTTTCTCAAGGAGGAACGGTCAATTATAAAGTGAAAGATTAAAAGGTACTTACTCGATTGGACATTTCCAATGCTGCACGTCGTTCGGAGGCATTAAGACGTCGAGTTTGTTCTTTGAGACGCATTTCTTCTATTTTGCGTCTTCTATCCTCCTGGTGATGCAGGCGAGCCATTTCAGCCTGACGCTGAGTTTCAATATATGCAGAGTATCTCTGTTGTTGCTTAAGCTTATCTGCCTCCCGAATTTGTTTCAGTCGTTTTCTGACAGAAAGTAAGTTAGTTGGACTTTGAATGGGCGGAGTCTGACAAGGTTGTGAGCTACCGGCACTATTCGGTCGAGTAAGATTGATAAGAAAGAGGTGCCACAGTAAGCTGGAATAGAATTATGGTTATATCGTACACAGCACGAGGGGTGCCTATCGTGTCTTAGTGGCCTAGCTAGTAAGTGCGGCTTCGATGTTTGTTTCTCCAGTGTGTACCGGGTTCTACTGTCACAGGGAATATGAGGAGTTACGTTCAGCTGACAAGTCGCAATAAGAAGGAAAGATACAACCTAGATGCCCCCACAGGCCGGTACGTGATCTAGAAAACCGTAAAAAATTCCATAATCTACAGACTCATAGTAAAATCAGCGGATAAGATGGAAATGAACGGAAAAACATCAATAAGAACAGCATCTATGTACCTTCATATCAACTTACGAAAATCGGAATATCAGTATCATTATGATGTGCGTTGATATCACTACAAACTCTTTGATTTATTTTATCGATTTCACAATCCTGGACATCGTTGGTTTTTTCTGGACTGGATGACCGTTTAACCCGAGACATGATAGTATACAGCTTCTTCCGTCGTAAACTTCTTTCTTCCTCATCCCGCTGAAGTTTCGCAAGTCGCTCAGCCTTCTCAGCCTCAAGCTATAAGGTTCAAGCACCAAAACAAACAAAATAACAAATACACCCGGAAACTAAATAAAGATCTCACGTGAAATACACAACCAAAATGTGGACAAAACGTGTAGAACAGCAGCCAACACAAACACCTGAATCCGCATTAGCAGCCTCACGTCGCAATTTTTGACACAAAACACAAAAACAAGAGATATACCACTTCCATGACACGAAATCAGATAACTCCCTACGCCGTGAAACACACACCACAAGTTGGCAAATGCTGAACCAACCTTCTGAATCAGAGCTGAAATCCCGTCAGCAACCAAGTGGTCGACACATTCCACCACTTTACTTTCCCTCCTTGAACTAGGAGTAGTTACACAGCAGTCGCCTTGCAGCATCATCTCACATTTGACAGGTGCGAAACGCATGTCAAGCATACTCAGATTTCTGAACGCGTTCAGAAAACCCTGCATTGGACCAGTGTCTCCACCAAGAAGGACAATACCGTTAGCATGCTATAAGTCAACCAGATTGTATCTAGGGTGTAGATCAGTCCCTGTGAAGTCAGATGTCCATAAGGTTATGCCCATTAGTGCATCTATAAGGGTGTTGTATAAGAACAGTGAGAGTAGACGTCCTGTTGTCAATTCACACGGCTACTCTCCATAAGCGCTTATATGTCTGCTTGAGTTCGAGTAGAGGGCTTTGATTAGCGTTATATACTTGCTTGATAATCCCTGGACAGTCAGACAATGGTACAACACCTCACGGTTGACAGAGTTGAATGCCGCCCTCAGATCAAAAGAGTATGGTAAATGTTGGATGTCAAGAAGTATGCCTGTGTATCAGGACTTGTGTGAAGGGTTAAGATCCAAGCGGTAGTGGCTTCTCAATGGGAAGGGCGGGGGTAGAAAAGGTCGGCCCCAAAAATAACACTCCATCATACCCCACGGTCTGCCGGGCCGGCAGTGTTGGTTCATTTGTTGTTTCTTTTCGACCATCCGGCATCAAAACAACCATACACAAAAGACTATGTGTGACAGCCCTTAAGCAGATATTCGACGAGCTTTGCGACCACACAAATTTCTTTCAGGTATCTTAAGAAGAAATAGTCTTCCACGGTGTGGGCAGCCGGCAAGTGTCAACCACCCTCACAACTCTATCAGCACTCAAGTTTCCTCAGACTGGTATCCACCTCCTCCATCATTACCTTCTTCTCTACCTTCACGTCTCCCAATTAACGATACTACATCATCTTCAATTTCTCCCAGCTCTGCAGTCTTCGACAACGATGAGTTCACAAAACAGCATCCTTGGTCTCCTTAAACTATGCTTCAAATTACAAATCGGGGCCTTCAATGTCCGCACCCTCCATCAAATTGGTCAACAGGCTTCATTGGCAAAGACTCTAGCAACTCGGGCCATGGATGTGTGCTGTGTTTGTGAGACACACATACAAGACGCAAGTGCGGTTATTCATCTGACCTCTCCCAGCCAATCTAGTGAGTCCGCAGAATTCACCCTTCGAGTTTCCGGAGATTCGATAGCTAGCAGTGGATAGTTTTTCTAGACTTATTATAGAAACTGGGGGGTAAGGGTCAACAACGGTTAGTGAGACCGTAGCGGAAAAGGACGGATCTGCGATTCACTCGCAGGGGAGACGACTGGAATGATGGGTAGAACACTTCGAGGATCAGTTTGACTGACCTCCAGCCACCATTGCGTTGCCCGCTATTCAATCTGATACTGAATGGAATATTGAGATAGGCCTCCCAACACTTGCAGAAGTCGAGAAAGCTGTAGGTAACCTGAAACGAGGAAGGGTAGTAGGACCAGACGGACTAACTCCTGAGGTATACAAGGATGGTGGTAAGGTGTTCTTAATCAGATTAATGGAAGTGTTAACCAGTATATGGGAATCAAATATGATCCCTTCTGACTGGTCTAAATCACTGATAACTCCAGGCTTCAAGAAAGGCGAGAAGTCCTCTTGTGATAACCACAGAGGAATCGGCCTGACGAACATAGAGTCCAAGACCTTAAGTTCTATAATTCTTCGATGCCCGAGTGGAGCTCGGGAACAGAAAGTCCGAAAAAACCTGGCAGGCAAGCATTAGACCCGGCCGCAGGTGTATCGACCAAATATTCACACTGTGTCAGGCTCTGGAACATACGCTTACCGATGCCCGATACTAGCTGTATTTCTCGACCTGAAGGCAGCATTTGACTCTGTTGACCGAGAAGTCTTATGGCAATATCTCTCACTGAAAGGAGTACCGAGTAAGTAGGTCACCTTATTGAAGGCTCTCTACTCGAACACGTGGGCGCGTTAGAGCCTATGGTGAGATATCCAAGGAGCTTTACTCGTCGAGTGTTGTCCGTCGAAGCTACCCACTGTCTCCATCCTTATTCAATTTTATCATAGATAATCTTATCGATGTCTCCCTCTCGTCACCTGATTACACAGACGTTGACCTAATCGCAGGGGAATTTTCGTTACACCTAAAATATGCAGATGACATAGTCGTGTTAGGTGAAGATGCAGTCATCTGAACACTGAGTGACAATTTGAGAATGTTTGGGATGCGTTTTTCATCATCCCAAATGCAAACTGTTGTTCTAGGACTGCTCTTCAACGGGGCTTCGGCTAACAATAGAGAGTGTAGTGATTGAGTGTGTCGACCACTTCACTTACCTGGGAAGTAGGGTTAGCCCTGGTGGCTCCGTGGCTGATAAGATCTCTGCACAAATATAAAAGGCTCGACTGGCTTTCGCCAACTTGCGTCACCTGTGGCGCCGTGATATCCGATTGTCTATTAAGGGTCGCATGTACTGCACACCAGTCCGTTCTGTTCTACTGTATGGGTGTAAAACATGGCCATTGAAGGTGGAAGACATGAGAAGGCTTCGAAGGTTTGACCACCGTCGCCTTTGTAGTATAGGCCGTATTCCGTGGTGTCACCACCCGAGTAAAGCAAAAGTCAGGTGTAGAGTTTTAGGGAGAAGAGGTAAGTCAGTTGACACGGTTGTGAACCTTCATCGATTGAGATGGTCGGGACACGTGTTACGTATCCCTAGTCGCCGATTGCCTCGTCACACAATGTTGCCCGAAGTGGGTTCAGGTTGGATAAAGGCTAGAGGCTGTCAGACTAGAACATGCCATCAATGTATGAAGTCATTGACAGCTGGTGTGAGCCATGCGAGGCGATGCCGTCTAGCCGTTTGGGGTTTGCAAGACAGGAGAATCCAGTGGTGGGAGACTCTAGGTGACATGGCTCACAACCGACGCTATCCCGAATCTTACAATTTTCTCAGTCTTCCCTTTTCTCTATGTGTAATTCATAATTCTTCGAACTGAGTATTCTTGTTTTCACCTTCCATTTCACCATCTGTTTACCTGAAGTCATCCGAACTACAGTCGGTGAGTGGGTAGACGCAGATTACGAATAGGCATCCGTTGGTCACACGATCCTCCTCGTCCTCGAAGACACACGAAGTCGAAAAAGACATAGATGGCCGCGCAACAGCACAACAGTGTGAACACACCAGCGAGTACACCAAACGCGAGCAGTCTTACCAAGACATCTGTGATCAAAACCCTTAAACCGCTTCATGTCTTCCTCTTTTGACGCCGTATAACAGGGTAGGAGAGAGTGCAGTGCTGTACACTCGTCATTTGATAGATATTCGGATATCGCGCCAGTCCGTGATAGACATAACACAAGTTGGCAAATGCTGAACCAACCTTCTGAATCAGAGCTGAAATCCCGTCAGCAACCAAGTGGTCGACACATTCCACCACTTTACTTTCCCTCCTTGAACTAGGAGTAGTTACACAGCAGTCGCCTTGCAGCATCATCTCACATTTGACAGGTGCGAAACGCATGTCAAGCATACTCAGATTTCTGAACGCGTTCAGAAAACCCTGCATTGGACCAGTGTCTCCACCAAGAAGGACAATACCGTTAGCATGCTATAAGTCAACCAGATTGTATCTAGGGTGTAGATCAGTCCCTGTGAAGTCAGATGTCCATAAGGTTATGCCCATTAGTGCATCTATAAGGGTGTTGTATAAGAACAGTGAGAGTAGACATCCCTGTTGTCAATTCACACGGCTACTCTCCATAAGCGCTTATATGTCTGCTTGAGTTCGAGTAGAGGGCTTTGATTAGCGTTATATACTTGCTTGATAATCCCTGGACAGTCAGACAATGGTACAACACCTCACGGTTGACAGAGTTGAATGCCGCCCTCAGATCAAAAGAGTATGGTAAATGTTGGATGTCAAGAAGTATGCCTGTGTATCAGGACTTGTGTGAAGGGTTAAGATCCAAGCGGTAGTGGCTTCTCAATGGGAAGGGCGGGGGTAGAAAAGGTCGGCCCCAAAAATAACACTCCATCATACCCCACGGTCTGCCGGGCCGGCAGTGTTGGTTCATTTGTTGTTTCTTTTCGACCATCCGGCATCAAAACAACCATACACAAAAGACTATGTGTGACAGCCCTTAAGCAGATATTCGACGAGCTTTGCGACCACACAAATTTCTTTCAGGTATCTTAAGAAGAAATAGTCTTCCACGGTGTGGGCAGCCGGCAAGTGTCAACCACCCTCACAACTCTATCAGCACTCAAGTTTCCTCAGACTGGTATCCACCTCCTCCATCATTACCTTCTTCTCTACCTTCACGTCTCCCAATTAACGATACTACATCATCTTCAATTTCTCCCAGCTCTGCAGTCTTCGACAACGATGAGTTCACAAAACAGCATCCTTGGTCTCCTTAAACTATGCTTCAAATTACAAATCGGGGCCTTCAATGTCCGCACCCTCCATCAAATTGGTCAACAGGCTTCATTGGCAAAGACTCTAGCAACTCGGGCCATGGATGTGTGCTGTGTTTGTGAGACACACATACAAGACGCAAGTGCGGTTATTCATCTGACCTCTCCCAGCCAATCTAGTGAGTCCGCAGAATTCACCCTTCGAGTTTCCGGAGATTCGATAGCTAGCAGTGGATAGT